CAACCGATGTCAGTGGCGTTCTTGTTGTCAGTTTCTGTCCAGATTGCCTGAGTGAATGTCTGGAGGTGTAGGCACCTCGGAATGATTGTGTTAAGCTAACACTAAGTCCCTTCCCCGTGCACCTCTACTCTTCTCTTTACAATAAGGCTTTCAAATAAGTCATGGTTTTACGGCAGTGAAGCATCGGTGTTGAGCACTGATGTCATGCTGTCGTTGATGATGATGATGATGATGATGATGATGATGATGATGATGATGATGATGATGATGATGATGATGATCCCGACTGCTAGTACAGCGGAATAGCGAGAAGACTAAACCTGGCTGAATCGCCCACACGTTGAGCCTTCAGCTCGGAAGTCTGACCCACAAGGCAGTAGAGGATGTAAGGTTTTGTCTGGAGACCATTCCTCTAGTCTCTGACTCAAAAGTCTGACCCGCGAAACAGCGGTTGATCGTAGCCGATGACTCAATAGTCAGACCTGCTTGGCTGCAGGGGGTTGCCCTAACTCGAGGGTACAGAGTGTAATGCGTGAACTTCTGAATCACCTTAAAATCCAAGTTGGACCAAAGGGGTGTCATGCTGTAGGTTAGTCAACAGTTGGTACTCATCAGCAATGACGTTGAGCGTCAGCGAAGTGCCTTGCTCAAGACGGTTCTGTGAACGCGTCCGAATGTTTGCGAACTTGGGAGACTGGAGGTTGCATATGAAAATGAGGGATTCGAATTGGTCATTTGTGAGCAACTTCAATCGGAAACGTCCGAATGCACGATTAACAGTGCCAGCGTGCGTTAAAATGTCACCACCTTTAAACAGCGGTATTGCATATTGAACAGAGAAGATTGTTCCCCTTTTGTCTGCATTAGAGTTTGAACTGCGTCATCAAAAAATCTGCTGTGTTGGTTCTGCGGTAGAATGAGATTGCACCACTCGTTCAGCTCTACCGGACTTATTTTACGAGGCAAGAACCAGGCATTGCATGCATCTCCTTCTGGAACACCAGTGTGGACTCCGACCATCACTTGTACGCTGCTGCTTTTCATTGCGCTTTTCAGGTGTACGCAAATCGCGCACACCTCGCTTAGCCATTGAGAAGCTAGTTGACCCAGAAATCTAACGAAACTGTCAGAACCAGCTCCTCGAATGCCTGCCGGACGGTACGGTGTCGGATATAAACGGCCACTGGGAGAAAGTATCCAAGGCGCTTCTCAAGGCAGGAGCGTCTGCTTGCGGCGCAACCCGGCCAACCTCATCCAAGCATTGGATCTCTGATAGAACCGTGTCTTTTCTGGAGACCCGGCGCATCATCCGACGCCAGGTGAAACTGAGTGTCCGCGCAGACCGAGAAGCTTGGTGGACCTGAAAGGTCGAAGAAATGGAAGATGCGAAGAATGCTGCAAACGTGCGCAAATTGTTCCACTTGATTCGTTCGACTGGTTCTCGGAAACCTCTTGTCAGCGAAATGATCAGGGACAAAAATGGCCCCCTGATATGCAACAAAGCAGAACGTTTGGACTGCTCGGCACAGTATTTCGAGCAGCAGTTCAGCTGGCCATCTGCCACCTCCACTCCAGAAACCTGGCCTTCAACAGGAAGGTGGACCGTAAATATGGAGCCGCCTTCAGTCTCAGAAGTGTCCGAATGCATTTCTCTACTCAAGCGTCATCGTGCTGCTGGTCCTGACGACCTTCCACCTGCTCTTTTCAA